AACTCGTGGGAGTCATGTGGGTCGAGCCCCCACCACGGTGGAAACGCGGGTGGAGACGGGGGCGGCGGCTGCGCCACAGGCGCCGCCCCCAATTGCTCGCGAGCTGCCGCGGCCAGGCGAGGCCCCGCCCCCTTCCACCGTCCGCTGCTGCTGCGCTCTGCGAGCCGCTGGCCTGGCTGGGGAGAAGAGCCGCGCTCTCTGCGAGGAGCGCCGCGGCCGCGTGGACCGAGCCCGAGGCCCCCTTCCGAACCCGAAATCCACGAGCCCGAAATCGCCTCGCCCCGCCCCGCGCACTCCTGGCAGGCCCAGAGCGTTTCGCTGCCGACCTCGAGCCATGTCCCACGTCTGCCACACGTCCTCCGCGAGCAGTCGCGAAAGCTGCAGTGGCTCCTCCAGCGCAGATTGCACCCCTGCCAGTCGCACCGCGCCGCCGCCAGGCCTGGCCCCTCGTGGCCGTCCGCGGCAGTCAGCTCCGCGTCGCCCTCCTGCATGGCGGCGCCCAGCCAGCAGAAGACCTTCCTGACGAGGCGGTCCTGGCGCAGGCTGCGCGCTCGAACCACATCGTCCGCGGGATGCACCCCAGCGCCCTGAATGGCGCGAGCGTCCGCACTGCGGTTGCCCTGCGCTACCAGGCGGTGATGCGCTCGGCCCGCGCGCCCGCCAGCGTCGCGTGGGCCTTCGCCTTGTGGACCGTGACGTTGTCGGGGCCGATGTCCTCGAGCGCTCGCCACAAGCGTACCCATAGCTCTTGGTGGGGTCGCTGCCACTGGAGGCACCGCGTCTTGCCCGCTGCGAAGCCGTCCACGAGCAGCCGGCAGTCGGTGTAAATCCTGACAGGCGGGGGGCAGCCCTGTAGCCCTTCGATGGCAGCCGCGAGCTCCGCGGCTCCCGACTCTTGTGGGCATGGCCAAAGGAGCGGGCCGAAGATGCTGAGGGCCTCCTCGTCGCGACCCATGACGACGGCAGCCCAGCCACCCCGCGCGGAAACCAGGCTGGGGTCCAGGACGCTGCCGTCGGTAAAGAGGTCGCCAGCAAGTGGTTGGCCCACAAGATCGGATCGCCCCTCTTTGCGCGCCAGGCGCTCCTCCGTGGGCAGAGGGGGCGAGCGCCTATGCTCAGGCGCCAGGGCCCTCGACCACAGCGGGTCCCCCGTCGCATCTGCGCTGGCCATGTCGACGAGAGCCCCGAAGTGAATGTCGTCGGGCGGCCTGATCTCGTCTGCGTCGCCATTGGCCCCCCACTCTGCACGGCCGAGCGCGGCGGCAGGGCACAACCACTCCAGGTGCCGCACAGTGCCGCGTGCATTGCACCCGCGAGGGCACCGGGGCGACGACGCCAGCGGCCGCTCCTCTGCGAAGCGGCGCGCCACTGGCCAGAGACAGCCGACCAGCGCGTTCTTGGCCGAGCTCATCTGCCTGGCCGCTTGCTGGCTTATCCGCTTGCGGTGCAGGGTGCGCCCGATGCTGGACAGGGCCCCCCCCTGCGGCCAAGAGCTCCAGGCCAGGATGCCTGCCCGCGCCCCCCCCACAACAGCCGCCCATGGCTAGCGCCGATGTGCTTGGAGAGGGTCGGCGCGCCCAAGGCCTTCAGGTCGATGGGCTGCTTCAGGTCGTTGAGGAAGAAGCCTGGCCGTCTAGCACCCCACCCCAGGCGACGGCATGCCAGCACGCAGGCCGACGCAGGGCCCCTGCCTGAAAGGGCCTCAGGCCCCTCCGCAGCCTTCCTCGCCAAGGCCCCTGCGAACGCGCTTCCGAATGCTCGCAAGTCCGCGCGGTCAGAGTTGGACTGCACCGCCTTGGCCCACGTCACGATGAGCAGCGTCACGTGGTCAACGAGCGGGTCGCTGTCCAGGCGCTTGCTGAGGAGGAAGCTGAGGCTGAGGCTCTTGCCAGGCACTCTGCCGTGGTGAACGGCCTTGACCTGCCTCCGCCCGCCACTGTGTGAGCTGCGGCGACGGCCAGCCCACCACGCTCAGGCCGTACCGGGTGGCAGGCCTGAGCCCCGCGTTGGCAACACGCGCTGCTGCTGGTGTCTCCTGGGAGCGAACGGCGTGAAGCCTCTGCAGCTGCGCTGCCGCCGTGGTGTGGCGCGCATCGAGCACCACGAAGGCCCGGCCGTCGAGACAGCAGTCCACTCCTAGGTTCTTGACCGAATCGGCGATGGTAAAGGCGATGCCCCCCATCTGCTTGGCCACCAGTGAGGCCAGCTCAGGCGAGCTCGCAAGCAACCCGCTCTTCGACTACGACACCTTGCAGCCCAGCGCCACGAGCTGCGCCACCACGGCCTTGGTCGCCTGGGCGACGTACGCCGCGACCTGTGCCATGGGGCCGTGGCATCAAACGCAGCAGTCGTCGAACATGATGGCGAGGGTGACCCGAGGCTCCAGCACCCGCCATAGGCGCGCGTGCTCATCGGCCAGCACAAGCAGGCCGCACTTGAGGAGCCGTCATGAATGCGAGCAGCAGGCGAGGAGACCCGCGTCGAGCAGGTAGGGGTCGGAGCGAGAAGGAAGCGCCGCGCGCCAGCATACAAGGTCAGCGCCATGCCCAGCAGCCCCCTCGGGTAGCCCGCCATGATGCTGCGGTCCTGGATGATCGCCAGGTCGACTAGCTCGTAGGCCTTCCACAGGTCGATGAGTGATGCTGCAGCTCCCTCGCCCCGTGCCTGCGAGGCCTCGGCTCGGAGCGCTTGCCACCAGACGGCCTCTTCGGCCGCGCGCCCGCGGCCGCCCCAGAATGTGCCGGCTAACGCCTGGGTCGATCTGGGAGTCCCAGTGCCGCGCGTCTGGCTGACGGACGCGACTCCAGAGGCGTGGGAGCCAGCCCAGCAGGCCTATGAGTCGAAAACCCCCTTGAGGCTTAGGAAGCATCACCACGAGAGTCGGTAATGACGTCGGGCCAGCCGCCCAACTCCTCGCACCGCATCCCGAAGTCGATGATGACCTCCTTGATGATGATGATGATGATGATGATGATGATGATGACGATGATGATGATGATGATGACGATGATGATGATGACGATGATGACGATGATGACGATGATGGTAATGATGATGATGATGATGATGATGATGATGATGATGATGATGATGATGATGATGATGATGACGATGATGACGATGATGACGATGATGACATGACGATGATGACGATGATGACGATGATGGTGATGATGGTGATGATGGTGATGATGATGATGATAATGATGATGATGATGATGATGATGATGGTGGTGGTGGTGGTGGTGATTGTGATGGTCATGGTGATGTTGATGATGATGGTGATAATGGTGGTGGTGATGCTGACAATATTAGCGATGATGATGATGATGAGGACGACGATGATGATGATGATGACGATGATGATGATGAAAATTATTACGATGGTTACGGGGATGACGATGATGTTGATGGTGGTGATGATGGTGATGATGATGCTGGTGATGGTGATGGTGATGATGATGGTGGTGGTGATGATGGGAATGGTGATGAGGACTTGGATGATGACGATGATGATGATGATGATGATGATGATGATGATGATGATGATGATGATGATGATGATGGTACAGGTACCACTCGGAAAGCAGGAACGCGGCCCGCCTTACCCGCGAGGAGATTCAGGCATGCAAAAGTCCACACGGTCACAAAGGCGACGAAGAGCAACGACCCCAAGACGCCGCGCGCACGGGGCCGCCACCCCAACAAGCAGGCTGCCCAAGTATGTCCCGGGGAACCAAAAACATGATCGACCCACGAACCCAGAAAGGGATATAGATGTGAAACATGGAGATTATCCGAGCCACCAAACAATTGCAACGCTCAAGGTAACGCTGGTGATGTACCGTGCTAGGGGACGTGTTGTGCCATGCTATGGTGAGGTGAAATTTGCCATGCTGCGTTGAACTGTGCTGTGCTCTATTGCGTTGTGGATCAAGTCGTTCTTGGCATCAGAATCCTGATCGAACTGATCCGGATCTTAAGATCGAGCTGCCTGGACGCATTTCTCGAACTGGTCGAATTCGAACCGCGCAGGGCGCTCGACCAGCTCGAGCTCGAGATCTGCTCGAGATCTGATTAAGTTCCATAACGGGACGAGCCAAGAGGGGGCGACTCCGATCCGACGCGAAACGCACCGAGAGTGAACGGACCGAAGCTCGGCGAACCAAAACGCCACGAACTGCATCAAGACGAACCGAAACGATACGAACTGAGGCGAAGGCCGAACCGACCCGAATCGAAGCGAGACAAGACAAACCAAGACGAATACGCTTCGGCTCACAATCTTGAAACTGCATGGCGTCGCCTGACGAGGGAGCCGCCCTCGGAGGTGCCAGGACCCCTCGCGAATAACCAGGGCCGCGATTTGGCGTCAACTGGTATTGATACGTGCTGTGCTGCATTGTGCTACGTCATTGAGTGTTGAACTGTAATGTTCTCTGTTGCGTTGTGGGTCAAGCCATCCTTGGCACCCCTGTCCTGTCCAGTGTGACCTGGATCTTTAGCGCAAGCTGCCTACGCGCATGGTTGGCCCAAAGCTGGCTGCAGGCGTAACATGCAGGGCTTTCAACCAGCTCGAACGCAAGATCTGTTTCAGTTCCGAAGTGGGACGTACCGATCATGGGGGGCGCATCCGAACTGAAACGAAACGCACCCAGACGACGACAAGGCCCCGCAATGCAAAACCAGCGTTTCGCGAGATGCATCATGAGCACATCCTGCAGAGGGAGGCTTTCGTTGCAGACGAGGCCATAGCTCGAGACATCCCGACTAAATCCTGCAGAACGAGCGTTCCGCTCTAGACATCCCCAACACATTCTCATCTTAGCGATTCGCCTGGGAGACCTGGACACGTGAAAACCAAAATTTCGCTCGAGGCATCCTCAACACATCCTCATATTAGAGATCCACCTGGGCGACCTGCAACAAGCGTGAAAACGAGTGGGTCCTTTTCGACCCAGAGCGGAGCAAGCGTGAAATTTCGTGGGTTCCTTGCGCCCCAGGGCACAAAAAGCGTGAAAATAAGTGAGTCCCTTTCGCCCCAGAACGGAACAAGCGTGAAAATGCTTGGGCCCCTTTCGCGCCAGAGCGGCCAACAGGCAATCTTCAAATCTTACAAAACTGATCGTCTCATTAAACTGGGCAACACAGGGCAGTGCCAGTTGTAATGCCAAATGTGCTCACATGCATCGTAACCCGCATCCTCAGCTGGCCCCTACCCCACCATCCTTTTACTCCTCCACGTCCTCCTCGCTAATGATCGTCTCTCCTCAACATTCTCGACTTTCTCGCCTTTGAAATGCGCAGTTCGTTGAAAGATGTACATCCCCGCTCCTTTGGCAAGGTCAAAATGCACAAAGTGTGTCGACGATCCGAGGCTCTCTTGCCCTACCATTAACATCCTGAACAGGGCCCTCCTCCTGGCCCTCCTTATCAGCATCATCCTTCTCCTTCTCTTCCATGTCTCCCCATCATCCTGCAGCGTCTCTGCATCACTATACTGATGCTGTTCCGCCTGCAGCTCATCCCCCATATGCAAGAAACTCATCGAGCCACCATCGTAATCCACGACGTCATCAACGATCCCCTCTTCTCGGGACTTGCGCAATCGTGCAAACCTCGTAGGTATGTGATCAGTACCTGAAACCTGAAGCCAAAGCTGATAGGAAATACGTAAAAATATAATAATAACCTAACTGCACCACACACACACACACACACACACACACGCACCCACACACTCACACACACAAGCTTTCGGAGGCATGCGCAGATGTCTTGGGTCGGCGCTAGACCCCCCCCCCTCCCCTGGCGCGCGGAGCGGGGTCTAGCGCCGACCCAAGAAATCCTCGCAGACCTCCGAAACGTGATGCTCGTCGCTGCTTTGATAGCCGGGAGAAAAAATACGCAGGAGGAAAGATCCCCCTCGCAACGCCGACATTCGCCTCCTCATCCGACAGGAAGGGAACGGGGGGCGGCCATGGCCTATGGTCGCCGTTCTCCCCAGCCTCCTGCCACTGTGGCAGCGCCTGCGAAGGGCTCATCCTCCCCCCTCCTCCTCTCCTCCTCCTCCTCCTCCTCCTCCTCCTCCTCCTCCTCCTCCTCCTCCTCCTCCTCCTCCTCCTCTCCCCTCCTCCTCCTCCTCCTCCTCCTCCTCCTCCCTCCCTCCCTCCCTCCTCCCCCCTCCCTCCCTCCTCCCTCCCTCCCTCCCTCCCTCCCTCCCCCTCCCTCCCTCATCATCAGCAGCAGCATCATCATCACCAGCATCATCAGCATCATCATGATCGTCCTCCTACGCATACTTCAGGGGAGGGGCGCAGAAACCTCGATCCTCGATCCTCCTTCCCTCCTCCTCCTCCTCCTCCTCTTCTTCTTCTTCTTCTTATTATTCTTCTTCTTCTTCTTCTTCTTCTTCTTCTTCTTCTTCTTATTATTATTATTATTATTATTCTTCTTATTATTATTCATCTTCTTATTCTTATTCTTCTTCTTATTATTATTATTCTTCTTATTATTATTATTCTTATTATTCTTATTCTTCTTATTATTATTCGTCTTCTTCTTATTATTATTCTTATTATTATTATTATTCTTATTATTCTTATTATTCTTCTTATTAATATTATTATTAATCTTATTATTATTCATCTTCTTATTATTATTCTTAGTATTAGTCTTATTATTCTTATTCTTAGTATTATTATTATTCTTATGATTCTTATTATTCTTATTCTTATTATTCTTAATATTCTTATTATTATTTTTCTTATTATTATTCTTATTCTTCGTCTTATACTTATTCTTATTATTATTATTAGTCTTCTTCTTCTTATTATTATTAGTAGTAGTCTTCGTAGTATCCTTATTGTTCTTCTTATTATTATTATTCTTAGTATGCTTATTATTATTATTATTCTTCTTATTCTTAGTATTATTATAATTATTATTATTATTATTATTCTTATTATTATTTTTTTTCTTCTTATTCGTCTTCCTCTTATTCTTCTTCGTATTCTTCTTATTCTTCTTATTAATATTATTATTATTCGTCTTCGTCGTCTTGTTATTATTCTTATTCGTCGTCTTATTCTTCTTCGTCTTCTTCTTATTATTATTATTATTCTTATTATTCTTATTCTTCTTCGTCTTCTTCTTATAGTTATTCTTCTTATTCTTATTAGTCTTCTTATTATTCTTCTTATTATTGTTATTATTATTATTCCGCTTCTTATTCGTATTCTTATTATTCTTATTATTCTTAGTATTATGATTATTATTCTTCTTCTTATTATTAGTATTCTTATTATTATTATTATGCTTCTTCTTATTATTATTATTATTATTTTTCTTCTTATTATTCTTCTTAGTATTATTCTTAGTCTTCTTATTCTTCTTATTATTCTTATTATTAGTATTATTCTTCTTTTTCTTATTCTTATTATTATTATTCTTATTATTCTTATTATTCTGCTTATTTTGCTTATTATGTTTCTTCTTATTATTATTCCTCCTCCTCCTCCTCCTCCTCCTCCTCCTACTCCTCCTCCTCCTCCTCCTCCACCTCCTCCTCCTCCTCCTCCTCTCCTCCTCCTCCTCCTCCTCCTCCTCCTCCTCCTCCTCTCCTCTCCTCCTCCTCCTCCTCCTCCTCCTCCTCCTCCTCCTCCCCTCCTCCTCTCCTCCCCTCCCCCCTCATCCTCCTCCCCCCCCCCACCTTTGCTCCTTCTCACCGACGGGCGAAGAACGGTATAGCATAAACTTTTTCGCCGTCGGGACACCTGCCCCAGGGCGCCGCAGGGGTATAAAACTTTCCAACCGCCCTGGGACAGGCGCCCCCGACAGCGAAAAAGTTTACTTTATACCGTTCTTCGCCCGTCGGTGAGAAGGAGCAAAGGTGGGGGGAGGGGGAGGAGGATGAGGGGGGGAGGAGGAGGAGGAGGAGGAGGAGGAGGAGGAGGAGGAGGAGGAGGAGGAGGAGGATCGAGGATCGCACACCCCAGGCGTGCCGGCAGGACGGAGTCTGGGCGCTGCGCCCGAGGCGTCCCCTCCTCGCCGCACGTGGCCCGGAAGCCTGAAGACTGGAGCACGCTCACGGGTGGAGGGCGCGGGCCCTCTCCGGAGCGGGGCTCTCGCCGTAGGGGCCGCGCACACCCGCCGCACAAAAAAGCTCACAGCCGCTGCTCACGGACGGAGGGCGGGTCCTCTTCAGGAGTGCGGCTCTCGCCCCAGCGCCGCGCTTCCATTCGTCGCAGAGGTTCGCCGCGGTGCCAAGGATGGAGGGCAGGCGGTCTTCAAAACGTGGTTCTCGTCCTAGCGCCGTGACACATGAGTTGTATGAGGCCGCAACACTGCTAAAAATTGAGAGCAGCTCCGTTGCGAAATGTGTTCTCGCCTAAGCGCCGCGCAAATGCATGTTGAAAGTTTGCGACCGCTTCAAGGATTCGTATGGCAAAAGTCCCATGAACGGCGTAATGGTACTGTTTAGGATTGTCAAGGCGCGGCAGTCACGTTGATCCGCGACGTTGAAGTCCCAGGAATTGTGGTTTGGCGCGGTTGGGGATTATCAGACGGTTGTCTTCTGTTGGGCCACTTCCCGCAACCAAAATGCAGAGTTGTAGGGACCTGCAAAGAGGGCTCTTGGAGGGAGGGTTTCTTGCAACGCCGTGGATGCGCCCTGGGCTTGCGCTGCTCCTCCTCCTCTCCTCCCTTCTCCTACGTCCTCCTGCTCCCGCACGCGCACAGGGGAGCGCGCGCCAGGGAGGAGGGACGAGGGACGAGGGACAAGGGGAGGAGGGAAGAGCAGGGCGACTCGGAGGGTTCGGAGGTCCCCCCCGCGGCCTCCCGAGGAGTTGTCCTACGCCTTCCCCGAAGACAGACAAAAAACTGCTCGGAAGGCGCGAGGGCTTCTGAGCAGGCCCGGCAGCCTTCTGCGAAGGCCTTCTCCTTCTCGGTTCCCCCCCCCCCCCTCGCTCGCCGCCGAGCCGAGGGACAGGGGAGGAGGGAAGAGCAGGCCGGCGGAAGCAGGGGAGGGCCTCCTCGTGCCCTCCCTCCCTCGCTCCCCGAGCCCCTCCTCCTCCTCCTCCTCCTCCTCCTCCTCCTCCTCCTCCTCCTCCCTCCTCCGCCTACTCCTCCTCCTCACTCCTCCTCCTCCTCTCCTCCTCCTCCTCCTCCTCCTCCTCCTCCTCCTCCTCCTCCTCCCCTCCTCCTCCTCCTCCTCCTCCCCTCCCCTCCTCCCTCCCTCCCTCCTCCCTCCCTCCCTCCCCCCCTCCCTCCCTCCCTCCCTCCCTCCCTCCCCCCCAGGCGGAGGCAGAAGGGGCGGAGACCCCAGGGGCGGGCACGACCCACATTCGCCCGGGCTCCTTCCTGTGAAGGCACGGGCGCTCGGAGCCCCTGGCTGCACGCGAGGCTGCCCCCCCCTTTGGGCCGCCCGCCCCTGCCGCAGCTGCCGACGCCCCCCGCCCCTGCCGCAGCTGCCGACGCCCCTGTCGCTGCAAGAGGCCACTGCGGCAGGTCCGTGCCGTGCCGACTTCCGGCGGTGGTCGCTGACACCGTGGGGACCGTTCAATCCTGAGCGATCGGTCGGTTCTGAAGGTCAAATCGTTCAACATCGGCCGACTCTGAGTTGCCGCCGGCGTTCGATGTTGAACGCCCGCGGCGCGGTCGCCGCCGGTCGACACGACCCGAACCTACCGTAATCATGATGAGAACGACAGCCGACAAAAAAAACGACAACCGCTGGACGTGAAAGACGATAATGTGCACCAGACGCGTAGTCCAGGACGGTGCTGGGGGTTCACGCAGGGCCGATGCTGCTTCAACTCACCTCCTCGTCCTCCTGGTCCTCGAGAAGGAGGAGGAGGAGGAGGAGGAGGAGGAGGAGAAGGAGGAGGATCGAAGGGGGCTGTCACCCCAGGGGTCGAGACCGTGCTGGGGGCGCAGGGCCAACCGCAGGAGGTCCAGCCCGTCCAGAGCCCCGAGAAGCTGATCTGCTCGGACGCGAGGT